GCCTGGAACTGAAAATATGGATGGAGGAACTCAGTTTAGCTTCTTTGTCACACTAGTGCTGAGCTAATACATATAAGGAAATATAGCATCGGAGCTAGTGCAAAGACAAACAGGTTAAGCTGAGGTTCTTCTTCCAAGACAAAAGAGTCGATCATCAGATATTGTCCAAGATTAACCTACAGGGTGGATATAGCTTGCTAGCAGCCTCGCACCGAGGACCTACCCACACCCAAAATGCTTTGTGTGTAAATAAAATGGCTCCGTCCGTGTGAAAATATATTTTAAAAAGTTTACAAAACTAAACATCCTGCAGTAATTTTGCAGTCTTTATTTTACAGTTAAAATATACTGTATGTTTATCAAATAAAGTCTAATGTAACAACTAATCAGGGATCCCTTTAAACAAAAAACCCAAAACAGTACATCAGTACTTTGCAGTTCTTTTAAAAGTTTCTGAAAATTGTCTCTTACGCAGGTAAAGTGATTTTTAATGATTTTTGATGACTGAATCGATCCATGTGCGGTAGTTTCTTATCTTTGTGTAGACCCCAGGGTAATTAGGATCGCCGCAGCCGATGCCCCAAGACACAATCCCTTCCAGTCGGCCATTGCAGATGAGCGGTCCTCCYGAATCCCCCTGGAGAAGGCAGAGTGAGGGTTTCAACCGTGTCGAGGCTGTGATGTTCAACGCACATACAGAGAAGTGAAATGAAACTGAAGGTGTTAAAAGGCTGTGTGACTGCAGTGGACTACAGAGTTGGCAGCACAGACACTCTGCTGGTAACACAGGGCACATTTGTTAAACTCAAGTGGGCCACCACTGTTTTTTCTGTGGCCCGCAAGAGCTTCAAAGACATATTAATGTGTTGCTTTATAACAGCATTGACAAGAAACTACATCTCCCATGATCCATGCTGACTATTTTACTTGTGAAATGACGACATCCCACCACTAGATGGAGGTGCACAGGGTTCAAAAGCAGCTGATGCCAATCAGAAGCAGGTGTCATGGAATCCTGTAAGGAACAATGCGATTACCCGCCATTGATGTGATCTTAACCTGTGGGTTCCCTTGCATACCCAGTGGTTCCAGCATTGAGCCACATGCAGAACAATTACCAAGTACAACCCGTTGGCCTCATACAAAGGCATCCTGTGTTTTCACTTACTGTGGATGCACAGGGAACTACCTGATAACACTGCTGTTCCACTTATGATGCACCATCTGGTGCCCACTACGAGCTATACCAGCTCTTAAGACAGACATCAAATTACATCTGAATCAAAGCATTCCTTCAGGGGACTTCTTTATTTTTTTTTTCTTTCTTTTTGGCCAGTGAGTGCATCTGAGGTATAAAAAGCATTCAGCTRCTTTTAAATAAAGGATCTTTGGCATTTTAACAGCTTAGTTAATTAGATTAAAATTTTCAAAGAGTGCAGACAGAATGCAGAAAACCTTGTTTAGTTGCCTGCTGCGGGACATGCTCAAAACGTTGACTTGCCCTGTTGTTATTATGTGATCAGGAGAAGAGCTGAAACTCACCTGACAGGAGTCTTTCATCCCAGCAGGAACACCGGCACAGATATTGTTGTTTGTGACCCCAAAGTAGTAGAAAGTCCAGCAGTTGCAGTAGTAACTCACATCGACAGACATCAGGACGTTGGACAGAGTGTTGCCGAATGTCCATGTCATACCCCAGCCGCTGACTATGCACGGAGCAAAGTTTGGCACAGGGGGCATGCTCAGATCTGGTAACAAAACTGTGTCCACCTTGTCATTTATGATGGCTGGACGGTCCAACTGAACCAAAGAGAAACCACGTTAGACATCTTAAAAAGCAAAAGCTGAAAGTGGTCTTTTACATGTTTGCTCGTTTTTATCAGGGATGCCTCTAGAAAGTGTTCAAAGTGATGGGGGTCACTAATAGTTTTGTGGTTGATTAGAAAAATACTGTATTAGATCTAAAGAGTTGCCCCCTTATAGGCAGTCGGCCTACTTTATTACAGCTGATTACTAAAAAGAACAGCAAATACTCAAATCATTGATGCTTGTTCGTACTTTTTTATAAAAATATATATGGAATATTGTTGCCAGTTTTTTTTTTTTTTTTTTTTTTGTAGTGGTTTCACCAAGTTTGATGCAATGGTTTTCCACTTTCACTTCACACAATATTAGAATTAAAACCTAACTCGGTGCCACATTTTCATCAGCCTTTTATTACCTTCAGCATCATGATGTCGTTGTAAAGCATCCAGCGATCGAAGGCAGTGTTCTTAATGCTGAATATGACGTCAAATTTCTGCTCAAATCCTTCAACTATGGAGAGGTCATGTTCACCCAGAACCACCTTCATCTGTTGATCCCTACAAAAAAAAAAAAGCAGAATTATGCTTTTTACAATTTTCCACAGATCAGGTCTTTTTGTTTTGTTTCTATCACATAAAATGTAATCAGGCGACGAGCAAACAAAACACTCCAATGCATCAAAAAACACATTTGCTACACTTCATRGTGTGATCAATATAAAGAATAGCTCACAGTAACTTACGATTTCCAGCAGTGGGCAGCAGACGCCACCCACTGTGGGTGAACCAGGACTCCTCCACAGTAGTGGAGGTTTTGGTACTGGAGGGAGGCTTGATACTTAATGGAGTAAGGTATTACCTCCGTGCCCCCAACGATTCTGTCCCCATTTATACCTAAGAGACACGCAGAAAAATACACAATTTTTAAAAAAAAAAATACCTCATTTTTACTTTGTAGCTTTACTTTTTAATTCAAAATACATTCTGTTTTAAATAAAATGGCAAGACATGTTGATCATCTAAGTCAAAGTGATACCCCTCACCTTTCAGGTTAACAGCAAGCAGAAAGAGCAGCAGCAGCAGGTGACACAACGGAGGCGGTTTCATCATAACAACTAAAATACAGTCGACCAAAGCAGTCAGTGTCTGTCCTGGTAAAATGTTCAGTAAAATGGTGGAGTTAGATTTACAGAAATGTTTGAGATGGATCTGTATCGAGTACAACAACATGAAGTGGCAAAACCCAAAGTCAGCCCATATATACTGTATTTCAGACCAGACCCTACAGCCTCAAGTTTTAAGAACAAAACTGATCTTTATCCAAAACACCACCTGAAATATAAAACTGTGCAAAAGTCCTGGGTCATTCCTCAGTTCATATTTTGGTCCAAAACAGTCATTTTTWAAATGTTTTGTTTTTACCGATAGTTCTTCACACTGTCAGAAGGTCTTTCAGTGTCTCTTTTGCAGCTAATTTTTAGTCCACCTGATGATTTTAATGGGACTGTGTTCTTTTAGTAAATAGTCCACACTTATCTTCAAAAGCTCTCCAGGTTAAAAGTGCTTCACAGTGTTTCTTATTCTTTGTGGTCAGCAGGGACTGAGCACAAAATCCTTTAAAGAAATATTTAGAGACATATAATTTAAACAGGGTCAGGA